TTTAGCTCGTTACAGAAGCTACAAAACTGACCTACCTTTGAGCAGATTGACTTTCTGGAGCATCACATTTGTGGGGTCAATTAAATGCTCAAAATGGCCAGAAAAAGAGAATATTATTCTGAAACTCTACAGTTTATTCTTGTTCTTAGAAATGAAGGCTATTCTATGTGAGAAATGGCCAAGAAATTAAAGATTTTCTACAATGCTGTATACTACTCCCTTCAGAGGACAGCACAAACAGGACAGCACAAAAAGTTTGGGGTCATCCAAAGCAAGCTCATATTTGGTCTGGAGATTTTATCCCTAGGATGCAGTAGTCTCCCTTGACGCTTATCTTGAGCTAGAGTTACCGGGCAGCAGATCAGTGATTTCCCAAACGCAGCCAGAAATGTACACCATGACGACTGGATGAATCATGATCTGCTCTAAAACCACTTCCCCCCCTTATATTTGTTTTTTACAGGATAGCAGCCACTGTGCTACAGTAGAATTATTTTAGTCTTTACTGGCTTCATGTTCTCTAAAACTGCTAAAAATGTAAGAAAAATATAACGTTTTTATTTTTGACTTTATTTTGACGTTAAGGTTGTAGGGAATCTCTTCTTCCTTTTTAATATTAAGCAGTTTCTCTTTCTGAATGAATGAAAATGAATAAAGTTTAATCTTGTCTTTTTGTCCCACTGTGTGCTTCTGTAGGCCAGTGATGGAGGTTCCCACAGACACTCCTTTCTCAGAGAAGCAAGCTCGCCTGTACTTCAGAGACATCATCCTGGGCATTGAGTACTGTAAGTGTCAGACACAGAAAATTTATATTTTTTTATATTTTTGGGGAAATCTGTGAGTAAGTTCAAATGTCTTCTTTTCATACACAGTGTTGTGCTAGAGTTGCTGTGTCTAACATACTTAATTTTAATTTATACACATTTCCTTCACCCGACTTTATATATTTGTGTTTTCGATAAAGGAACAAAATGTTCTTGACGTCTGCCTCCATGTCCCGCCGTGTAGCAGCGTCCATCCAATTATTGCTAAGTCATGGTTCGGTCGAACAGCTTTTCTCCAGCTGCCCATTTAGCTGTAGTAGATCAATTTTTCTTATTTGCTGTTATTGAGCTTGTTCGTCCAAAAGCACATTACTGTCTGTTTCTTTTTTGTGTGTGTTCATTTCTGCTCACCTGTGTAGAGTACTTACCAGGACGAAGAATCATAATCACTAAAGATGATGGGGGTCACTCAGTTTTTTTAAAATAAATTTGGGAGAATTATTGTAATTTTTTTTTTTATGTTAAAAGAAAAACAGTTTTCAAAAAGTTTAAACCATAAAAAAATTCCTGTTTAGCTTTTTAAGCCAAAGCCTTGTTAAACTGAAGGTTGATCTTTCTCATATCAACCTTCAGTTTATGAGATAAGATGTAAAATATCTTATCTCAGAAATTCTAAGACATCACTGGAATTATTCTTCCAAAAAGGAAGAACCTGACTGCAACAAAGGCTATAATGCCATAAAATAATTCAATTTACTTTCTGTGGTCTTGTTTAAAACAATGACTTTCTTTTTTTTGGAGTTTTTTTTGTTGAGTTTTTTCGACAGTAGGCTGACAGGAAAGGGGGTATGAGAGAGGGGGAGAGGCATGCGGCAAAGGAATGCAGGTCGGATTTGAACAGTCGGCCGTGTTGAGGACTAAGGCCTCCATATATGGGTCATACCCACTAACCGCTGCCACCACCTGCACAGCAGAAACACTGACTTTCACGCAACACTGATGATCATTTTAAAATAAATAATGTACATTTCTCTTATTTCTTTACCTGTTAAAATATAAAATAGTGAGATAAATTTGAGTTAATCCCATTAACTGTGATACTGTACGACAAAGAATATCGATATATATTTGTATATATGTATCTTACAGCTTTGTTCTAAATGCACATATTAATGAGTCATACTTCTGTATTAAGCTTCCCAATGTTGTATTATAAAAATTGAATTGTGCTTGTTTCCTTACTTTAATCCTTTTTAGTATATTTTGGCTTTCTTAGTTTTTCACAATAGGATAGTATGTTGGTGCATTGTTGGTGCATCGTTGGTGCAAAAAGTTTTTGTTTTTTAAGAGAACATTTAAAGTTTTCCCCTCTGATGTATTGCAGAATGTTTTTTCTAAATTATTTCAATAATCAGAAGTTAGTTCAGTAATAAATGTTAATTTCAGATTTAGATAAGAGCACATTCTTGTTTATGAATGACCCAGTCAAAATCTCAACTTAAATCCTTTTGTACTAACATTGAGAGAGCCGTCATTAATCTGCACAATATCAGCTGGAATTGTTGTGAAAGGTTATCCTCTACTGGCAAAGATTCAGGTGATGGAAAACAAATACCAGATTATTAGCAAAAAAACTTTAATGACCATGTATAGTGGGGAGAACATGCTAACTCAATGCAGAAAGAGACTGGGCCAGGAATCGAACCTGGAACCTTCTTTCTATGAGGCAGCAGTGCTACCCACTGCTCCAATGTGCAGCCCTGTTAATAATGTCTTGTTACCGAAATATATCCAAAACATGAGTCTTAACTGGTGCTCTTGGTGGCGCTGAGGTCATTTTAATATGACCACTATCAGTAGTGCAGCTAATTTTCAAGAAGTCAAGGAGCCCATGCTTTAGGAAGACCTCCTCAGGCAATTTAAGACCACTTGTCCCATCAGGGACGTGTTCAGAGTGTAGATACATAAGGTTGTTAAGGATGTACTTAACACTCACTCACACATGACCTTCCGTTCACAAGCTTTCCTTCTCTGTTATGAAGCAGCAATCAAAGCTGGCTCTGCTCTCTTCTGGGACATTAGTGCTGCTTCTGCCTCTGATTGGCTGTTTATCTTAAGATCCTTCTGTGTTTTACTAAGAGGTTTTGGTGAATAAATGGGATGTCTTCATCTCCATAAATGCATTATTTACATATTTAACAGAAGAAAGCAGACTTAAAAATAGCTGAGAGCTGTTGAGGTGATCAGCTGCTGTCTTGTGATGATGAGCTAAATACAGGTGCTGGTCATAAAATTAGAATATCATGAAAAAGTAGATTGATTTCAGTAATTCCATTTAAAAAGTGAAACTTGTATATTATATTCATACATTACATACAAACTGTTTATTTTGTTTAATTTTGATGATTACAAATGACAACAAATGAAAATCTCAAATTCATCATATCAGAAAATTAGAATATTGTGAAAAGGTTCAAAATTGATGGCCCCTGGTGCCACACTCTAATCAGCTAATTAACTCAAACCACCTGCAAAAGCCTTTAAATGGTCTTTCAGTCTAGTTCTATAGGCTACACAATCATGGGGAAGACTGCTGACTTGACAGTTGTCCAAAAGACGACCATCGACACCTTGCACAAGGAGGGCAAGACACAAAAGGTCATCGCTAAAGAGGCTGGCTGTTCACAGAGCTCAGTGTCCAAGCACATTAATAGAGAGGCGAAGGGAAGGAAAAGATGTGGTCGAAAAAAGTGTACAAGCAAGAGAGATAACCGCACCCTGGAGAGGATTGTGAAACAAAACCCATTCAAAAATGTGGGGGAGATTCACAAAGAGTGGACTGCAGCTGGAGTGAGTGCTTCAAGAACCACCACACACAGACGTATGAAAGACATGGGTTTCTGCTGTCGCATTCCTTGTGTCAAGCCACTCTTGAACCACAGACAGCGTCAGAAGCGTCTTGCCTGGGCTAAAGAGAAACAGGACTGGACTGCTGGTGAGTGGTCCAAAGTCATGTTCTCTGATGAAAGTAAATTTTGCATTTCCTTTGGAAATCAAGGTCCCAGAGTCTGGAGGAAAAGAAGAGAGGCACTTCATCCACGTTGCTTGAAGTCCAGTGTAAAGTTTCCACAGTCAGTGATGGTTTGGGGTGCCATGTCATCTGCTGGTGTTGGTCCATTGTGTTTTCTGAGGTCCAGGGTCAACGCAGCCACATACCAGGAAGTTTTAGAGCACTTCATGCTTCCTGCAGCTGACCAACTTTTTGGAGATGCAGATTTCATTTTCCAACAGGACTTGGCACCTGCACACAGTGCCAAAGCTACCAGTACCTGGTTGAAGGACCATGGTATCCCTGTTCTTAATTGGCCAGCAAACTCTCCTGACCTTAACCCCATAGAAAATCTATGGGGTATTGTGAAGAAGAAGATGCAATACACCAGACCCAACAATTCAGAAGAGCTAAAAGCCACTATTAGAGCAACCTGGGCTATCATAACACCTGAGCAGTGCCACAGACTGATCGACTCCATGCCACGCCGCATTGCTGCAGTAATACAGGCCAAAGGAGGCCCAACTAAATACTGAGTGCTGTACATGCTCATACTTTTCATGTTCATACTTTTCAGTTGGCCAACATTTCTATAAATCCTTTGTTTTTATTGGTCTTCAGTAATATTCTAATTTTCTGATATGATGAATTTGAGATTTTCATTTGTTGTCATTTGTAATCATCAAAATTAAACAAAATAAACATCTGAAATATATGAGTTTGTATGTAATGTATGAATATAATATACAAGTTTCACTTTTTAAATGGAATTACTGAAATCAATCTACTTTTTCATGATATTCTAATTTTATGACCAGCACCTGTATTTGGTTAGTTTCAAATTCATCAGGGGTAATTAAAAATAGAGAACTGTATATCTTTCTTGTAACTCTGAATCAGTATACTTACCAGTATGTTCAAATTAACTTTGAGGTCTGACCTATTTGTCTTAGTGGGTCAGATGAATTTAGGTTGATGGAGTTTTGATCCAGACCTTAGATTGTCCCCGAAATAAAGATTTGAGTAGAAATACCACCAGAATGTAAATCCAAAACCTCTAACATAATCTGAATGGTTTGTAATGGAAACTTATCCATGGTTTCATTTCTGTTAAACTAAAACATTGAATAGTAAAAGTATATAAAAAACTAATATATCATCATATGGGTTGAATTTGGTTCCATTATTTTTACAAGCAAGGAACATGTTTTGTAGATTAAAATTAACCAGAAAAAAAATGCAATAAAGAAATAAAATTTTGAGAAATTTTGTCGGTCCAAAAAGGGTTCTGAGAGTAACTTTCTCAGTTTTCACAGAATTTAACTTTTTAGAATTTTATAATTTTTTTTACAGATTTCGTATTTTCTCAGTTTGTCTTTTCAGATCGTTTCTTACAGATCGTATTCACTTCAAGCCTTAAAAAAAAGGCTCATTCTTCGTCTTCATCGAAATTCATCTTTGCTCCTCGCTGCCGAGGAAAGCCCGCCCAAATTATTTCAATTATAAATTCTAAGGAAAACAGAAAAGTTACTTCAAACCCCATTTTTTAAATGATTTGTTTTTTAAAATGTCATATCTGGATCAGATTTTTTTTTCTTTCAAAACAAGTTCTTTGCTTGCAACAATGGTGGAAGAAAATTCACCCGTATAACTGTCCGTCTAAATTCTTGGTTAGCTTAATGGTATATTTTTTTTCAAACATTGTTTTTCTTATTTCCTTTGGGTTTTTTAAGGTGATGTACACAGTAGTTGCATGTTATTGATACTACTGATGCACATCCCTAGATGTTTCTGTAGTGGTTCCACCAACTTATCCCCCCTTTTCGACAGTGCACTACCAGAAGATCATCCACCGGGACATCAAGCCGTCTAACCTGTTGCTAGGAGACGACGGTCACGTCAAGATAGCCGACTTTGGAGTGAGCAACCAGTTTGAGGGCAATGATGCTTTGCTGTCCAGCACTGCAGGGACCCCTGCCTTCATGGCGCCAGAGACTCTGTCAGAGAAGTGCAAGAGCTTCAGCGGAAAAGTGAGTTTTCCCCTCCTGCTGCCTGGTGGAGGTCAGAATTAATTATTTTAAACAATCCACCTCACCTTGATGGACTTTCCTAATAGTTCTGACTCTGAAAACCCACAATTTATAGCTGCACCTCTCCTTATGCCTTTCAATCTAACCCTGACAAGGATTACCTGTCCAAACTGTTTAAAAATCTCAGTCTAAGGTTTGGTGAAAACTTGGCAGTCCTGTGATCTTTAATGCAGCTACATTTAGAGGTCATGCATATCTGAAACAAAACACATTCAAATGTGTTTGGAATTCATGATACGTTTACCTTAATGGAATAATGTTTGGATTTTTATACATCACCTGTATTGATACTGCATATATGTGAAATCACATAAAAATGAAAGTATTTAGCGGACCTTGCACTACGAGGTGAATAAGTGATTTAAGCTGTGTGGTGATCAGGCCATTAGTTGAGCTCAACATTAGAGAAAAACTAAGACTTGATTAAAAACTCTATTTACATTACATCTATATCCTGCTTTGTAATCCAGGGTGGAATCATTGGGAGCTGTGTGAATGTGTTATACCTTAGCTGTGGGAAAACATAACAGCTCCCCTCTATGCTCTCTTTGCTCTTCAGCTGCCTGTGAGACAACGCTGTAGTTAGAATATAAGTACGACTACTGCGTTTCCATAAAGGGCCTGATCTTTATGGAAAAGATTCCTAATAAGAGGTGCTAAATTGCATGTAATTTTTTTTATTTTTTTTTGCTATCTCTGTCATTTGTCAGCATTTTGCAGGTGATCCACAAAGATCGCTGCCTAAGTGTTAAAGGAAAAGTCCGGCCATATTCAGAATTCAAACTTTTGAAAGGTACTTTAAATATGAAATTATTACAAACTGTTCAATAAATCATAAGTGTTTTTAATTAAGAGTAATTTTCATTTGAATGTGCTTTACTGGAGGCATCCATGTTTGTCAAAGAACACTACTGCCACCTACTGGTTAGTGACGTCACGGTGCGGTATCGGCTGTTGATCAAGTCCCAGTGCTGTATCTGGTTTTTGTCACAACGGGCTATTATCCAAGTCAACTTGGAAACATTCTTCTTCCAAATGTTGGGTAAATATGTGTTTTTTCTCTGGCCAGAAGTTCAATGGCAAATCCTCCCTCGTCAAGTTGGCAATGCAAAGTTTCACTATAGCTCTGGTGAATTTCAATGGTAAAGTCCTCTTAAAATCTTCAATCATTGTTGATTGCAGATGTGTCTAGTAGTTCCCATTGATTTTTCTTGTAAAGCGGGGAGAAAGGGCGCTAGGCTTACCGCACCATGACGTCACTGCTGGAAGATGTCAGGAGTGAGGTGTTAACTATGTTTGGGCAAAAATGGCCGCTCCTGGACTCAGTGATCAAGACGAAAATTATTTTTAGATTTTTACTGATTAATGCTAAATTTATTAAATCACTGCAAATTTATTAGTTTTAGGTATAAATAATAATCCATTAATTACTCCTTGCTGACCAAATTTTTCCTTTAAGACTTGCAAACAGATTTTGTTTAAAAGAAAATAATAATACTAAATAAAATTTATAGAGCACCTTGTAGCCTATCACAAAGTGCTACAAACGTAGCACGTAAATGTAAATGAAACATGCTTCATGCACGGCAATGTTTTATCATATCAAAGGAGAAAACTACCCCTGCCGCAAAGAGATCAAGTTCAGTAATTTTTTTTTGTCTTGGTTTAATTGTATAAAGGTTATTCTGCCATACTGCTGCATTAATTTCTTTTTTCGTTATTAATATTATTCTACTATTTATACTCACCCGCGCAGAGATTATCTCTCTAATTCTAAGATTCTATCAATGGCTTTTTTTTTGTCTGCAGATAGTTTTGCGAATCAGCCTTTAACAAACTTTCAGAAATGCAAAAAAAAGATGCAAAAAATGCTAAAGTATCACAGTTGTTTCTGATTTAAAAAAATCTCTTTGCATCTGGTAAATGTTGACATTTGCATATCTTCCACTCTGAATCTGCCCAGTTTGGTTATTAGAATACAATCTGCATATTAATATAGTTTGCTCAGGCTGAATTGCAAACTTTGCACCTTCATTGAAAATCTGTCCTGCATGGATAAACACGTTTGCACCTGTTTAAGACATGCAAACCTTCTTACAATCTAGCCGTAAATTCTTTATGAAAAAAATGGTTTTAAGACTGGTATTTATCATTATAGTAGATTATTTATATCTTTATATCTTTTTTGGCCACTATTAAGAGCCATTGTAGAGGGTCTAAAGTGCCACATTCGGCCCTGGATGCCGCAGGTTGCAGACCCCTGGTGTAGAGGAAACCCTGGATAGTAAAGAACTGCTATAAAACTGGAAGTAGATGAGTGTTTTGGAAGAGTGTCTTATTGCAGAGTTCAAAATGAAACTTTATCTTTGATGATTCAGAGCAACTAATGTGGACTTTAAACAATTTCTAAGCATAAAAAAGAGACAAGTCTTTGCAGCTTAAGCTGTTTCATTCCCTAATATGGGTTTTACTTACAACACAGTTGAGAAGGAGCTGAAATCTCCCTGTGGTCAGGAGGTTAAACATTACTGACATTACATTACTGTTCTCTCACTTTTCCTGGGATCAGTGAAACACAACGTGCTACAGTATTATCAGATACCTTCTGTGAGAGCTCCAATAACAAGGCGTACCGACCCACAGATGTCTCATAGTAGCTTCGCCTCCTCTGTTCCTGTTTCGCTGTGACACCATCCTGGAGAGATATCAGCTGTGCTGCTGCCATCAACACCTTTGTTTTGTAGATGTTGGAGATCGGCCTGTTTTTCCGGTGTAGTCCTGTTTCTCTGACTGTGACTGGCGCGATGTGCTCTCTTCATCCTCTGGCATGGGGGTTTGCTCGGAGCTCATCTGCCTGGCTGTGTGTTTCCTGAAGGGGCCCCCTTTTAAAGTTTGCTTTTTGTATCTCTGCTTCTTTCTGTATGTCTGCTTCTGTCTCTTTGAACCCCAGGCGGCCTAAATGGCCACTCACACCAAGCCTGGTCCTGCTGGATGTTCTTCCTGTTAAAAAGAGTTTTTCCTCTCCACTGTCGCTACAAGCATGCTTAGTGTGAGGGATTGCCTTTGAGTCACTTAGTCGATGCAATCCACTGGTTTTTCTTAGATATAAAACTCTGAATCAATTTGACTGTATGATCTGGTGTTGTGAATTGGCGCTATAGAAATACACTGAAATGAATTGAATTATAAATATCAGCTGATTTTGTGACTAAATGTTCGACTCTTTTAACTTTCTAACATATTGTTAAGTCAGATACTAGTTTCATAAATTATATTATTAGTATTATAAGTCTCTCTCCGTTGGTCAACAGAAAAAGTATCAAAAAGGTGTCATTGATACTTTTTGTGTTGCAGTATTAAGCTTGTATGCAGTTCAAATATCCACATTAATTCCTATATTATTTACATCTGTTCATGGGAATAATGTATGCAACTGTATCCACTGCAGCAGTTTTAACTCCCTGTTTTTCTCCCTCCTGTGTCGCTAAGAGAAGAGCTCTGCATGTCCATTAAAGAGAAGCAAGAATAGAACATTTGATTGCAGGCTAAAAGCCACCAGGGTAAAAGAGCCACTTAAGTGCTTCAGTTTGCTGTTTTGTCAAGCTTTCAGGAACTGAGCTCCTCTTCCTCGTCGATTATTTTTCTTCTTTCCAAAGGACGTAAAAAAATAGAAGCATTTTCTAATATCCAGTACTTGTAAGTGACTAAAGGCGGTTATGCAACGCTGTTAAAAGTGCTTGATGAATGGAACTTTGATATTGATTGCAGCAGATAATGAAAGGATCCATTAATCTTCATGTGGAAAAACTATTTACTCTGTTCTTCATTACTTCTGCTTTTTTTGTTATAGATTTTAATATCAAAGACCTGGGTAACTCCTTAGTAATCATAAAAATCAGTTTTCAAATGAGGATTTTATTCAGTGTGATAAAAATAAGTTCTCCAAACTAATCTGTCTGTGTGTCAAACAGGAAGTCGTGTCTCATAAGTCTTTAGAAACCACATTCTCTAATTTGGTTTATTACACATACCCATACTTGAGTACTGTCAGACCTTTATAATTACTATGAATTAATATAAAGGGAAAAAAAAAACGAATTTGTGTGACAACATAAAGTAGCCTGTAAATATATCTAGTATAATCTAGAACTAAAATTAACTGATATTTACTGATGTGGAAAAGGATCTGAATCAATGAATGTTTGAACAGTTTGAAAAAAACATTTCTATGCTTCATGAAAGGCTGAACAGAAGATATCCTCCCCACCTTTGGCTCTGGATCTTTGGACCTTTAGAAATAAGTGTTGATAACTTTCGCTCAAATGATAAAAACATAAAACTAAAGGTTTTAGATATGAATACAATAACAAATGCAGTTTAGTAGTTTTTCATTTTCATTTCATTTCTACAGTCGAATGACACCTAAAGGACAAGGAATCTATATTTGTATCTGTTTTTGTTTCGTTAGGTTGGATGCTGTGCTTTAAATATCAACTTTCATAAAAGATTTCTCTTTTTAAGATGGTCAGGTTTTTATTTATGCCCTTAACAAAAATGTAATCTTTTTGTTTTTAAAGTTAGGTTACGTTTCCTAGACTCTTATTTCTTTCAGCTGCTTGTATCCAGGAACTCCTTCTTGCAGTTATGATCCAGATTTCATGATCCTGAGTGTGGGAACATAGACCAATGGGTTAATCCAGGGCTTTTTCTTTTATTTAATCTTTTTTTCTCAGCTGTCTCTTCACCACAACAGACCAGTGCAGCGATAGTGGCAGTCGCACAGATCCCTCTATCAATCTCCAGCTCCATTCTCCCCTCACTTGTGAACAGGAACGCAAGATACTTGGAACTCCTCCACTGTAGGAATGAACTATTCTCCAACCTGAAGGTTTTTCCGGAGGAGAACATGGCCTCAGACTCAGAGAAGCTGATGAAGGGCTCCTCATCTTCTGTAGGTCTTAGGAGGAGGGAGTGAAGCAGAAGGAAATCAATCTCGCAGAGCAGAGATTAAATCCCCAAACTAGAACCCCTCTGGCTGCACCTAGAAAACCTACAGTAGATGGGGGGAAAAAAAGCCAGTCTGAAGGGTGACAGCCTGTAAAAAGAGACATTTCCATCAGCTTTTTCTAATGTGTATAAACTGTAATTCGAGTGTTTTTTGCTTGCTGCAGGTGGTTTTTGCCTTTTGCGGAAAAAGGTTGATGCACAAAACAGGAGGATCTAAGTGCTTTATTTCTAATCACCTCTGGCTCAGCTACTTTTGACTCACATGACTGACCAGCTGCTGTTGGTGTCTAGCCAGATGTTCCCATTATGTTTGTAAACATGGCTGGGAGCAACATCACCGTTACCAACTGACTTGCTAACATAAGAGCAACTTGCTTGATCCAAACAGCTTCTTTAAAACATTCCTCCATTACTGATCCTCCATCATATGGAGGACTATGTGCTTGGTTAAAATCACTTCAAGCCAAATGGAAACACCAAATTCAAGTTCCTTTTTTTACTTTTAAAAGTTGGCTTAAAAATGGGATTTTAGGTAGATGGAAACACATCAAATGATGGAACAATGTTTCCTAATCTCCAGGAGAAAATCCTGAAGCACATCATCAGTTTTTTACTTTAAGCTCAGGTGCTTTTACTTTATTCTTGGGATAATGGTCTATAGTTAAACAAGACATCCACCTCTGATTTAAAAAATAAAAATGTAAAAAAAAATCTTTATAGTTGTTTGTCTATTTTTCTCCATGTGTGCCTAGAAGGGATCTACTTTTTCATAGCACTCCATCTGTTACCTGAACTGACAAAGAGAAATAAACCCTGGCTGAGAGCAGCAGTGCCTCTGCCACCTATTACACAAATTCATCCTCAGAGTTTCTAGAAAAGAAAATAAACCAGCTAATATTAGGAATGTGTGCTTTCTGTCCTGAGAGGGATTGTCTTCCATTTGCAGTTAACTGCAGTATTTTCCCTGTTTGACAGGCGCTGGACATGTGGGCCATGGGAATCACCCTGTACTGCTTGGTGTTTGGAAAGGCAAGTCTGCATTCTTCCTGAGTCTCCATTAATCAGCGTTAGAACAGTGAAGGCTGGGTGAGGTCTTCTTCCTCTCAGCAAGGCCTGGTTTGTTAACGACACCTCTGCGGGAACAATGCCTGCCACCTTGTCTGTTTGATGCAGCTCGTTGAATCCAACACCAGAGGCTGATCCGTCCGTAGGGATGCAGATTGTATCTGCTAGAGCTGTGATTAACGCAACCCCTCATTGTGGAGTTCACTCCTCCTTTTTTCTGCTCTGCTTGCAGTGCCCCTTTTTCGACGAGTACATCTTGGCTTTGCACAATAAGATAAAGACCAAGCCTGTGGATTTCCCAGAAATGTGAGTCTGTTTTCTTTATTGCTCCACCTTTTTGTGCTTTATTAGAGAAGTTGAAATGTTATTTTTACCCTTCAGTGGATTTTTAGCCCTAAAAGCACTCATCCCCCTAAAGGAGGGGGAAGTCAAATTCTAAAAGTCGGCCATTACAATAAAATTTAAATGTCACCCATTTGGCATCAAAAGGTTTATGTAGAGCAGCAGGTTGGAAACCTATTGTATAGCCTGCTGGGACTTCCTGATCCTCCTTTGGAATAAAAGGTTGAGTAAAACAGAGGGTCTTCCTGGCTGGTTGAATCAGGGAACACGTGAAGCTACAGAGAGAAAAGAGACTGCTTAAATATTAATGCGGCAGGTGGGTGAGTGGAAGCAGGAGGCTGTGTCAGAACAAAGTGTTATTTTGGTCATAATAAAGAGTCATCCTTGGTGGTTCTGCAGGAAGCTGTAATATTTGGTACTCCCATCCTCGCACACAGACTGTAACCAGATCATTTCCTTTTTAAAATAATAAATAACAGTTAGTGGGACCTTGTTCTGAGCAGCGATGGGTCTGTTTGTACATTTAAAGTCATATTATGAGATGATTGCTTTTGTCAGGTTACTGCTATATAAGGAAATTACTTGTATTTTGGCAGCTCCTGTGAAGCCATGATGAGTGCCTCTGTGCTGTCCTTCAGTCTGGCCGTGTCTAGCCATTGGTAGGATTTCCTGATATCCACCACTTTGGTTATATTTCAGTGGGACATCCCATGCAGGGACCAATCCTGCTATGTCAGAACCTCCAGCACCTCATCTTGGATCCAGGCTGGATGGGCATTGAACCAGTGTTCCTTTAGTTAAATGATTCTTTACCCTCTTTGAAATAGCTATCAGCAAATAGACATGAGGATTCCGCTAAATGACTCTTGGTCATACTTGGTAATGGAAATGTAATGAGCATCTGAGGAACACATGAACACTAATGTTATATCAGTGTTGAAACCCTTAGTGAAATAAAGCTTGTCCAAGCTTCAACAACAGCTCAAAACCTGTTACTGTAGCATAGCATGCGGTCCATCCTGTTAGCTTTGTCCTTACCCATCAATAAACACATTAAATTATCAATATCATCAAAAGACATATTGTTTGTTATGTCCTTAATTGTGCCAGACCTGCAAACCTTTTGTCCATGTCCATTTGGAAGGCTTGAGTTTTCATCCATCATGACTTATCATTCTGGAGATCTGGGCCTTTTTGGGCCTGGGTCTCCATGGCGGTGTCCTCTTCGGATGTGGACCCTCAGGCAGCTTCATGGGAAAGAGAGCATGAAATCTTCTGTGCTGTGGTTTTACTATCTTCAACACAGAGGGGGGTGGCAACTCACATGTCTGTGGGAGTTCCTTTGGAGGCAGTTGGCTGAAACGGGGGGGTTGCAGAGGTCTTACAGCTAAAACTGTATTCTCTTCTCCGGTCATCATGTCGAGATGAAACATGGATACTGGTTCTCAATGTCCAAAACTATGATCATGGCACATGGCACACAACTTGTCCTTGATGTACCTTGCATGTGCAAGTGTCTTTTCATTGACCTTTAGGATGGTTTTCCACAACCTCATTGAGTTTGAAATGAAGGCTCCTGTTGATGTTGTAAAGCTCCAAGCATTCAATGATCCACGTGTGTGGCATTGAGTCGTAGGCTTTCTTATAACAATCCAGGTAGTGCTCAGGTTAGTGTTTCGGGTTCTGCAGTCTCGAGCGACTGTTCTGTCTACCAGGAGCTGATGTTTCGCATCTCTGGTATTTTCACAGATTCCTTTTTGAGCTGTGCTCATTTTCAATGTTGTGGAGAGGCAGGTTATTGGCCTTTAGTTGGATGGGACTGTACCATTTGAGAGATCCTTCAGGATCAGGATTGTGTGCCCTTCGGTTAGAAATTCAGGGTGGCTCACTGTGATGGTTGATGTAGGAATTGCTTGCAGAGCTGCATTCTAGTTGACTTTCTGATGGTACTTCACCTAGTCTCTGTAACTGGCTTTGGGGTGCCTGGTCTTTCAGTCAGCCACTGCCCCCTGAGGCAGCGACTTATTTTGTGGTTCTATTTTTCTAACCTGGACTAAAGATGCTTTCCCTTGCTGCAATATAACCTTAGGTGTTCTCTTAGAGCTGTGGTTACAAAGTGGTGCCAGTGGGCACCAAGGTGCCCTCAAGGTCCACATGGGGTGCCCTTAGAGTCTTCTAAAAAAGTAACTCAATTTAAAAATGTTATTTTATTCTGTTTCTCCACTTTTTTTAATCATTTGCAGATAATTTATATTGTCTAAAATAAAATTGGTAATTAAAAGAAACAATAAAAATATTTTGTTTATGAAGTTTATGTGAATGCTGACCCTTGCAGTTCATGGTTCAGTATTGGTAGCCCTTCCTATCTCTCGGTGGCCTTGAAGTGGCCCTCAGCCTTAAAAAACTTGGGAACCCTTGCTCTGGAGCCTCTGCAGGTATTACACCACTTCTGACGATGTGGCACTTCTTTAGGAAGGCTGAACAAACTCTGAGACCCTGTAAGCCAAAAAGAAATTTTTTGTAAATTAGATATTGGTTAAATAAAGAACACTTGCCGTCACTGTGCAGATTAGGTGTTTAAAGAGGTCATAATCTGGTATTTTGCATCCTTCTGAAATTGTCCACTAATATGTTTCATTCTTAGCAGAAAGAAAATGGAGCATAATCTAAACCTTTTTTTCTTACTCCTTTTTTATCACAAGGGTAGACAGGAGAAATTGTTAGTGTGTATGTGTGTTCATGTGGATGTACTATTAGCAAAATTAGCGGTTAGTTTTCTGTCATTTTTCGATGTTTTACACATTGAGAACCACCTGCAATGTCCTCGTTCAGCTTCAGCTAATCAGCCCTGGGGCCCCACCTCCACCAAAGCCAGTATTCTTTCATAATCCTCTTCATTTATCTCCTGGGCTAGCTTCTCTCCCACCCATGAGTGAGCTGCCACCTACCCCCGCTCTATTTCCTCCTTCATTCTTAGTCCCACTCATCCTATGGCTTATTCTCCCACCAGTGTCTAGGTCCCGGGGGAAGAGTCTTCTAGTCCTTTTTCTAGGTTACAAATGTCGATTCTCAGCATCATAGTCCTCTGCCGGTGCCCGAGCAGCAGCAATCTTATTCCATTTATGTTAATATCCTTATGTCTGCTTGTCTCTCCATTAACCCCAATCAGCCTCAGTAGATTGCCGCTCACACTGAGCGTGGTTCTGGTGCTGACGGAGGGGCATTTCTCAATATGTGTACTTGTGTGTTCTCATGTGCTTGTGTACTCGTGAAAAGTCATCAGTCTCAGCCCTGTTCCAATTCACAAAAACAGCAGACCGAGAACAGACAAATAAATAATAAACAATGGTGCAAAATGGGATTAATATGAAAAAGTTCAGCTCAGGGCCAAATAAATATGGTGCATAACTTGTGTCCTATTTAAAAGGATCAGAAAAGTTAGAAGTTAAACTGCTAACTGAGTTAGTACTAGTTTTAGGTTTTGATCCAACTGTTTTATTTTCCTTTCTACCTGATTCTACCTTTCTACCTATTCTTCCTTTTTGTGGCCCAATTGTTTTGTTTTACAAATGTCTTTGGTTTTATTCTTTTATTTCGCTTCTCTTTTATTATCTAATCCATATAAAGCACTCTGAATTGACCATGTACTGAATTGTACTATACAAATAAAATTGACTCATCTTAGACTAGAGAAGTGGATTCAGTGTCGATGGCTTCCAGTTTACAGCAGGTGCTAACGAGGTTGGTAAGGATTGGTTGACTAACTGCAGCCTTCAGTCTCTTTTAATTAAGCTCGAGCCTTAATTACACCAAGATAATGCACCGTTAGTAATTGAATCATAAGATCCGGAAGATACCTGGAGCCATTTTACAAAGATACTGCATTAATTTGTGAGTTATCTCATGGTTTGTGTGGATAAATAAAAACCTTCCTGAAATGGTGACTTCCTTCCTTTTGTTTCTTTGCAGACCAACGATCAGTGAGGAGCTACGGACTTTAATCTTGCGGATGTTGGATAAGAACCCAGACAGCAGGATCACCATCCCTGAGATCAAAGTACTGTGATGTGTTAATATGACCGTAGCTTATTGTCTGCCATCTAACTGGTTAAACTCGTTAACTCGATGTGATGCTCCAGGGAGAGAATCGGTCCGTCCCTACGGGAGGATAGGCTGAACCCAGGGGTCAGGGAAGGTTCAGGACCAGTCAGGGACGGAGCAGATACCCCCTCCCCCTAGACCTTTCCATGACACAATCCAATCCTGTCACAGCAAGTCATTTTCTCACCAGAGGCACTGTTTGCATTAATGGAAAAACAGATAATGAGCCTGTTAGACATCATGTGTGTCCTCATGCTCAGACCACTAGACACACACAAACATGTCAGAAAATCATAGGCTGGAGGATAAAGAGCCACTGGAAATTGACCAGTCAGAACAGAGTCGTCCTCAGAGATGAGCTACAGAGCAGACAGCCTGAGCTCGGCTAGTCCCTCAGATGACATACAATGATTTCATGAAGAAAGGGATTTATTTTTGTTAACGTGTAAGCTTTTATTTCGATTTATTCTGACAGAGCTTTAAAAAGAAGAGCATCAATGTAGAATTGAGAGAAAATGAGAGATTGTTGTAATTTTACACATGAAATGTTCAAATTGTGTCCTGTTTTTGAACCTAGAGCCTCCCGAGTCGGAAATGATCAGACTTAACTTTTACTGCTGTTAGACCAATCGGACAATACCGACTGAAATCTTTACATGACTTATTTCTAGTCCGATAACTTGTGTTACTCATGCTAGTGATCATTTCTATTGCTGCAGAGCTTCTTCATGACCTGTCACATAAAACCCCAATGATAAAATAGTCATAATTATATTGCGGCAAAATTTAAAAAGGTTTCAGGCATATTAAAACTTTTGCAGTTGAATATAAATAATTGGTGATCTAAGTTAAAAAATGCAAATAGCTGTCTGAAAATGTCAGATATGAACATTTCCTGATTAGCAGTTCCTAAACCTTTGCATTCCATCTTTTTATGATGTTCATCAATAACAATCCCTATCCGCTCAGTAGAGAATATAGATAAAAGCTTCAAGTTTCTCATCTTTTAGGTATTTTTTTGCGTGGAACGTCATAAAAACCTGAGAGCAAAGGTTCCCATTGAGAACTAATATACAATGACAATTACAATTGGTGATGTCTTTACATATTCAGATTGATCAGTGGGTGACCCAGGGAGGCACGGACCCCTTGCCTTTGGAGGAGGAGCACTGCTCTATGGTGGAGGTGACGGAGGAGGACATCCAGAACTCTGTGAAGTTCGTCCCCAGCCTCTCTGCTGTGGTGAGAAACACAGTGCAGGCTAAATCTGTTGGACCCACTTAGCAACACAAGCAGCTTAAAATGGTCGGGCCGAGTCTGGGCAAGGTTACTGAAAAAGGAGCGGTGCAATTCCAGTTTAGATTAAACAAACTGATGGTAATTTAATAGTTTCAGTTAGTAAAAGTCAGAATAAAATCTCTCTATGCACAATGAAGAAATCTGTGTATCACCTAAACCTGTTTTTGGGTTCATGGAGAAAAAGACAAGGTTTCCTCATAGAGGAATCCAGATCCTGACCTGATCAAAACTCTGATCTTTATATACTGTATCCAACTGTATCTGTGAGAAATCCTTTTTAATGAGGTTTCTCTCAATTCATATGTTTTGACGATGTTTCTATTCAAGACTGACAGAACTTCAACTCTTAGCAGGCTGTATTTCAGACAACCCGTGTGTTTCAAATCTTCTAAAATATGGCTCTATGGCACAGTTCTAAATGTAAGACAAACTTATGAGCTAATAAATAAAACATTAAGTCACTGAAAAGCAGGTAAACTGTGTCAAAGCAGAAAGATTCTGTTTGCTCTGCATTTTAAGAATCAGGTTTTACATTGAGTGATTAATGGGCTTGGGGCTAATCTCTTAATAGGTTTAGAATTAAAAATAAAATGAAACCTGAAATAAATTTTTAAAAAGTTCTGGACATGCATATTATATTATACATCCTATGTCACAGATTTATTTACCCTTTAGTGTTTATTTTATTCATCTATGTAGAGCGCAGCTTAAATGCTAAAATTTTAAATGGATCCACTCATCCTTATCTGGGATGGAGTGTTGGATTAGTGGTTAGAGCAGTGCGCTTATGCTCTGAGAAGGTTGCAAGTACCTGGTCCGACCGCAGCCTCCACCCTGGATTCCTGAGCAAAACCATTAACCCCACACTGCCCCCTGGGTGCTGCACAGTGTCAGCCCACTGCTCCCTGAGGGGATGGGTTAAGTGCAGAGGTAAATTTCTCCAGCGGAGACCAATAAAGTTCAATCATTATTATTAAACGTCCTACTTTATCAGCAATCTCCAGCCAACGTGTTCATTTTTTTCAAATACATTTAAAGCTACAGTGTGTAACTTTTAGCGACATCTAGCGGTCAGACTGCAGACTGCAGCAACATGAACATCTCCCCTCCGCCGCTTCTCCCCCCCAACAGTACGGTGAGCGTTACGGGACAAAATGTCTTCCACGACGTCCGCATCACCTACCTTCTCAAGTGATGAGGTTTGTTTACATAGATAATTTTACAGATAGTATTTCATTAGTCTGTGTAGGGTATAGATTTCATGTAGACTTAAGATAATAAATATACCCGTTATTTTCGTTGTGACATTTTGGCGATCTCGCAATCACTAGTTTGTTGCCTCTGCGCTGCCGTAGCGCAAAGATGTCTGCCTCCATGGCTGCGAGACCTGCTCCTATGTAATTATAAATAACGAATTCTAAGGCAACGCAAATATTAAGGTTAAGAGGCTGAGCTCGTAGATGATGATAAATAACATAGTTATGTATAATATATTACATTTCTGACTGTATATCCCGTAATTATCACACACTGTAGCTTTAATGTTGTAAAGGAAAAGTCCAATCAGCAAGGAATAATCAATGAATCATTATCAATACCTAAAACAAATACGTTGGCAGTGATTTAATTAATTTTGTGTTAATCAGTATAAAAATAAAAACAGGTTTTGGTCTGGATCACTGAGTCTGGGAGCGGCCATTTTTGCCCAAATATAGTAACACCTCCCTCCTGACATCTTCCAGCAGTGACGTCACGGTGCGGTAAGCCTAGCGCCATTCTCCCCGCTTTACAAGCTAAATCAATGGGAACTACTAGACACATCTGCAATCAACAACAATTATTGAAGATTTCCAGAGGACTTCACCATTGAAATTCACCAGAGCTATAGTTAAACTGACAATGCCCACATGCATTGTGGTTGGATGTAAACAGATACAGCACTGGGACTTGATCAACAGCCGATACCGCACCGTGACTTCACAAACCTGTAGGTGGCAGTAGTGTTCTCTGACAAACATGGATGTCTCCAGTAAAGCACATTCAAAGGAAAATTACTCTTAATGAAAAACTCTGATCATTTATTGAACAGTATGTAATAATTTCATATTTAAAGTACTTGAATTCTGAACATGTCTTTTCCTTTAATAATCTCACTTTTACCTTCATGCTTCAAACACTAAATAATTCCTGTAGCTGTTTTTTTGTTGCTGTTACATATGAAAAAAACGGAGCAGTGGCCTTGAAATAAAAGCGGAGCATTAATGAAGCCTTCTGGTGTTGGCTTCAGATCTTGGTGAAGGCCATGCTGAGGAAGCGCTCCTTCAGTAACCCCTTCGAGTGCCCGACCCGGCGAGAGGAGAGGTCCATGTCTGCACCTGGCAGCCTGTTGATGTAAGAACACACAGTCCGACCTGGAAAGATCATCACCCCTCTTACATATTTACTCATTTCATATCCCTTCCTCACAGATGATCCAACACTACCTCAGATCTGTTTAAATCTACTCACCTGTGTCCTTTTCCTGCTCTATCAGGTTACCTTGCTCTCTGTGTTCCTGCAGCACCTGCTGCCTTTTGTTGCCATAGAACCATTATTCAGTTTTATGTTGTATGCAGTAGAGCTTAGAGCTTTTGTAAGAGTTTCTAAGTGAGAGTTTACCTCCAGCTTTTATAGGCAGACGGATCCACTGAAATCCACTGCATGATGCTGACCGTGGACTTACTGATTATCTCACTCTATCATGCAGTGTGAGCGTCCTCTGCTGTCCCCTCGGGACAGCAGTCTTAGTGGAGGTGTCCAGCTTATTTATCAGCTACACACTGTGGTGTCTGTGCTGCGATAGTGGTTGATTTCTCCTTGATCTGGGCTCAGGCTTTCCCTCTGCTCCAGGGCTGCTGCAACATGGTTTGTTTTTAAAGACCAAGTGAGGAAAAAGAAAACACATTTCTGCCCCCTGCTGGCAGAAAAAAGGGCCACCAAAGTTTTAACATTTAATGAATCCCTTATAATGTTAACTAAATCTAGACTGACATCTTCCTGTCATCTTGGCGTCCTGATCTAATTTTTCAACAAGATAATTTGACAATATAACCATGCAAGCAGCACAGCAGGTTTTCTCTTATTTCCTATGCCCTGTTTTTGCTTGACAACCTGTTTTTAGCTCATTCATCCATCTCTGCGATGCCAATGCTGTGCATTAATGCAGAGCTTCAAACAGAGATTAACCGTTCCCGTTTAGGGCGACATCGAGCTGGAGGCCTTCTAAATGTGTCTGATAGCTCCAACATGTTTGGGAGGTGTGTTGGTGTCCCTCCTCTTACTCCTCTGTGACTTTTCCCGTCTTTTCTCCCACTCTTCCTGCAGGGACTCGTGGCCCTTCCGGCCTTCTCTTAAACTGCACCCTTCACGCAGGTAACCCCTTTGTGTAACACCCACCAACGCATCACGCCCCTCATTTAGACTGCTCTGCATTTGCTTTATGCAGCCTGGAGATGTATTTGAACAATTTCACATTTTGTCACATTACTGCAACAAAACGGAATTTGAGGCACATATTTAACAAGTTAAAGGCAAATTATACCAGGGGTGTAGATAATATTCGTTTTGTATCGATGCATTGATCCAACAGGCGACAATCCATTGCATCGACACATCCATCGAATTCGGATTAAATAATTATATTTTTATCCATTTGTTCCTGGATGTAATTCTGACTCCTATGCTGCAGTGGCGCCAAACCTATTTTGCCCTCCTACCTTGCTTTCTTTAGCCCCTACCCTCTCAAACACACTCGCGTAAACAAATAAGTGTCATTATTTTTCAGTGAATGACATTTTCATAGGCCTAGGTGGAGTACAACTTTGCCTTTTCTGTTATTTGCTGTTGTTTCTCAAATAAAATGCAGAACGATATTACAGCCTTCATTGATTTATTTCAAATTTGAAACACTGTCTAGGCTGTAAGGTAAAAAAAAACTGTTTTACCAATGAATCTAATGGAATCATATTGGGGTGTCTTCTTGAGTATCGAAAATAATCGAATCGTTGGGTCAGGAAATTGATACTGAATCGAATCACCATTATTGGTGTAATTTACACCCCTGAATTATACTATGAATAAAGTATTTAGGCAACGATTGCAAGCTCCCTTCTTAGAAAGATTAGGTCTGTAATTTCCATCATGAGAAACAGCGAGAAGGAAAAATAAATTCAGGAAATCACATAGTTTGACTTTTAAAGAATCAATCTCTAAATCCTGGTTGAAAATAAGTATTTATTCAATAAGAAAAGTTCAATGATGACTTTGTAGCTCAGCCTTTGATGCTAAAGGTTTCCTGTTGGTCTTCTCTAAGTTTTTTTCGCAGTCCCTGAATTCAAGCTCAGCATTAGTCATCCAAGCCTGGTCCAGATCTACTAATTTCTTCCTGGTGTCCTTCAGCAGCTCTTTGGTCTTGGTGGAGTTTGATGTATGACTGTTTGAGGCTGTGGACAGGTGTCTTTTGTTCAGATAACGAACAGAAAGAGTTCATTAATGCAGATAATGAATGGAGGACAGAAGAGCTTCTTAAAGAGGAAGTTAAATGTCTGGGAGGGTCAAACATCCTGGTGACCATATAAGTATTTTAAACCATAGTTTTCAAATAAATTCTTTAAATCCAGCAATGACTCCCTGGATTTTTTTTCTCAAAATGTTTCTAATATTTGAACCTATGATCAACATTTCAGACCTCACCCTTCTAGATAGGAGAACTTGCTTAAGCCGTTGCTAACTAAATACTTTTTTGCTCCACTGGTTTTAATTATTATTTTTTTTGCTATTTATTTGTTTTTGAGGTGAAATTAATCTATCTGATTTTATTTTTACAGATCAGAGTAAGGGAGGCAGTATCTTAGTATCTAGTTTTAGGAGCTACTTTGTTTTTGGTCTGTGTCTACAAACTGCTGCCGTTGGTTGTAATGTGACATGAGGTGAAAAAATTAGATAAAAAATGCTGTAGTTGCTTCTTTCCAGCAGTCATGTCAGGCACTCCGCTATCATGTTCTACAGGAGCTCCTTTCATGCATCACTCAGCTTCAGCTGCTTCTGCCCCTCGCTGCAGTTCGCTGTATCTTCAGAGGGTGGAAGCGTGGAGCATTTAGAGCTGTGCCCTCTGTGCAGCCGTCGAATGCTGCCAGATCAGTGGATCGGCTCTCGTTGATCTCTCTCCTCTCCCGTTCTCTGTTCAGAAAGAGCAGCGCAGGAGACGGACCCAGGGAAGGAGAGCTGGAAGATCTGCACGAGGATGAACCTTTCTCATGAGGAATTGAACATGTCCCAGAGGGAAACGGAGCTTCGCTGCCTCATGCTGCTCTTTGCTTTAACCACTGTGCACTCATGCCTTCATCCAGCATTCCGTTAAAATCAGGGCAGCAGGAAATTTGTATTACACATAAACAAATATTTAAATGTAAAAGTTGCTTGAATGAGCTGAAGCTTGCTTAACATTCAGCGTCCTCTTGGCCTCAGAAAGTCCTTCCTTCTTCTGTGACCCAATGACAAACTCTTTCTGGGTCCCTGTTCAGAGTAATGTTGCAGGAAAAGGAGGTATTTCCTATTTATTTCCATGCATGGTGAATAACAGCTTCTCATGGTCACACTGTCCACATCCTCATATAAATCAATCATGCTGGTTTCCCACTGACCTCAGCATGTTAATCCCTCCTCAGCGAACTACAGGGCTTCTGACTACTGATCAGCGTTTTTTCTAGATCTCTGGCCTGATCCTGTGTTACCGTTGCAGCCATTTTTTTTTCACACTGATGTCATCAGTAAAGTTAAAGAAGAAGGATCAAAAGGCTTTGTGCTGCATTCAAAGACCTCAGCAGATGAGCTCTGTGAAAGGAACTAAACAGATGGGACGCTGGCTTTGCAATGCATGCAGGCGTTTTAAATGCGACTGCCCCCTGTTGAAAGATAGGGAGTCACTGATGTTAGCAGTTTAGTACATGATTCTGCTCCCCCAAAACCACCCATTTCCCTTTCTCATTTTTTTGTATAAAACACCATTTAAAATTGCATCATAATGGATGTTTGATGCAAAAGCAGAGGGAACTGTTTTTTTTGTCGTTTTTTTTTTTGCACTGCGCAGATTGGAGGCAGAGCAATCGGTCTCCAAAACGGATAAGACTATTACAAGAACTGCTGTGTTATTGGAAATATAGACATATATGTATATATGGGAATTGATTTGTATTTTTGATCAGGATTCATTTTCCACTGTGGACTTTTTAGTGGAGAAAGTGTTTTTTGTTGGTTTTTAATGTGTACTGCATTTTTTTCTATGGCAGCATCCCTGCGGAGCGTTCATTAAAAATAAGGGAAGAAAATCTTCTTAGATCCCAACAGCTGATAAAAAAAAAGTCTGTATGCAAATGAAAAAAAAAAGTTATCATTCCTTTTTTGCTGAACTTGTACAGGCATCACCATAACCTGCAGAGGTCATGAAAAAAACCTTAAAAATGTAAAATAACATTGGTGGAAATATGAGCTTTATCTTCTGCTAACATTAAGTTTTCAGGACACCAGACCTGAAGGACCGCAATTCTGCTGCAGAAGAAGAGTCACAAACTCCAGTCCTGAAGAACTGTTGACCTGCAGCTTTTAGATACATCGCTGCTCCAACACAGCTTCATCTAATGATTAAATGACCGTTTGGCTACGGTCTGCAGTTGCAGATGAGCCATTTATTTGATTCAGGTGTGTTGGAGCAGGAATTAGCAGGGCTGGAGTTTGTGACCCCCGCTGGAGACGGTGTTTTATTCAAATATTCTAAAACACTGAAGCATTTTTTAACCCTAATGTTGACATTTGTCAGTTTAAAGGAGATTACTATTATTAGCTTATATATTAGCTCAACATAAAAAGAGCCGGTTCGCTATTGACTACACAAAATTATTACGAAGCAATATTCAAACTAGTTAATCAGGGAGAATCTTTTTCAAGATCCGAATCCGGTTCAGTTAACAAAAACAATAAGCAAACTAGCAGGAAAAGTCCAAAGTGCCAAAATATTGTCATGATTTTATCAAGAGCTCAGACTCACATGCAGAGAAACCAAAACAGAGAGACCAGGGAAAAAGTTTAACAGGTTTATTGAGAAGTTTGGTGGAGATTCCAGTGTTGCTCTGAACACTGCTCAACCGGAACTGAAAGGTGAGGGGAAGACACTGCGGTTAGTTCAGGTTCAGTGGGAAAATTGATTCTCGAACTTGAAGAGGAGAAATGGTTTGCAGACTCACGTTTCCAGAAAAGTGGTTGACTCTTAGACTCCAGTCGGTGTGGGGTGTTCTAGTGTTTGTCTCATTCGGTGGAGGGCGGACAGGGTTTACCCAGAATGCGGTTGTTTGTAGGAGAACGGAGAAACTGACTGCCACTCAGATTTCCTGCAGTACTTGAATGGACTGTGGTGCAGATGAATCCCTTGCTCAGTGTGAAACACAAACGATCCCTTGGAGGAAAGTGGATCCAAACCTCCTGTTTGAATCCCCAGCTCCGTTTGAGCCTTCGAGGGAGAGAAGGAACGTTTCGTTCAAGTTGCAGGATGATTTCCTGCTGAGAGGCAAAGACAAAAATAGCAAGATTAAAACTGAGTTTGACTCAGCTTGGCTAGAGTACCCAAAACTGGCAAACACTCTGGCGTCAAGGTAGTGGCAGTCAGCAGCTTAAGAGCACTCCATTAATGAGGTAACCCTTAGCAGATGTGTGAGGAGGAGAATCAGGACCAGGCGCTGCCTGGTGGAGCAAGGACGACAAACACACAAAACACAAACCACACAGACAGGAGTCCTAACAATTGTAAAGTGGAGAGACAGCTCTCATCAAACTAAAAAGCTATATGCATTGACAAGATTGTGGGGAAAAGAGTTCAATGCTGCTTTGTGAATAACAAAAGGATTAGCAGGGGAGTCATAGGAGGAGTGCCTTTAAAAGTAACTGAAATTCTAGAAAATATAAGTGGTGCAAAAGCAAAAGTGGTTAAACAGTTAAAAACAACAAGAAAGGGAGAAAGGTGTGACAGCTTATCAGTGTTAATCAAATTCGAAGAAGAGCAATTACGCAGTAAGGTTTTCATTGGATAATGAGCTACAAAGTGAAAATGTACAATCCTCCACCTCCAAGATGTTTTAAATTCCAAAAATTCTGTCATATAGCAGCTGTATGTAAAGGCAAACAATGATGTTGAAGGAGTGCTGGAGCTATGGAAAGTGTGGTAAAGAAGTAAAGATTAAATGCTTTAACTGTGGTGGAGAGCATACTGCTGCATATCATGGGTGTGAAGTGAGCAAAAGATCTGAAGACATTAGAAAAGTGAAATTAGAGCTCAGAACAAATTATGTTAAAGCTGCTAAAAGAATCCCATCGCAGTCAGAAGGACCCAAATCAACAGAGGCACAAATTACTGCAAAACCTCTGGAGTGCCCCAACATTGCAAAAGGAATCAGTATATTTTATGGTAGAAGTTATCAATTCTAGTGCTCAGACGACAAAGAAAACCAAAAAATTCTAAATAATACTAAAAGCTGCAGAAAAGCACCTCAAGATGAGAGATTTAAACAGGAAAACAGTTGAAAGTATAATGGGAAAACTAGTAAGACCATTAGAAACTGAAAGAATGACGCCAGCATAAAGAAAAATTAGAAATTATGAGGATGAATTTGATTTAGTATTAGTCATTATGTTGGGTTAATTTAAACGGTTCAGTAAATTGTCATTATTATTTATTTTATTCCTTGTTTTTTTTTTTTTCTGGGAATGAGTCTGGCTTTCTGTTTCCTTGTTTAACTCCATGTCAGTTGGTGGCGGTAATGCACTACAATTAGATTGCCAACCCCCTTAAAATAACAGAAAAATAAGAAAAGTCATTACATTTTCTGACATTCTGACAATCATAAATGGCAGTGCTTGCTGGTATTTCTCTGAGGAGCCAACAAACAGTTGGCGTTTGACGAGTCATTTGTGAAAACCGTTTTTTACCAGATGGGTTGGTAAATGGAACTAAATGCCAAGTAAAGCAGATGACGATGAGGAAGACTGGACAAAAGTTTCAAATGGAGAAGATAGATGAGGTTAAAGGGGAGAAAGGTGGTTTGAGAATCAAGGAAATAAACAGGAATTAGAAGAAAGCAGTTCAGAGGAAAAAAGAGTTGTGTGAAGGAAGGTTGTCAGAGAAGAGATAGCAATAATATTAAGATTCAGTGCTGAAGAAAAACAGTCATTTAAGCCTAGGATTGCCAACCGTCCCTTGAAAGACGGAATTGTTCTGTATTGAGAAATGGAAGTACCTGTCCCGTATTTAGTTGTGACGCACTTTGTCCAATAATACTGTGAGAGAAAAAAAATTGTAAAAAGCTGATAGAAAATGAACAACAAGGGCACGTTAGATACAAAACTTACGGTAAACTTTTTCCCTGGCTCTGTCCTGCGTTGTGACCAATGAGCTGAGAACATATAGGTAACAATCCAGAATACCCTCATCCTCATAATGTTTTTTTTTTGTTGTTGTTGTTTCACAAGTTTGCTGTTGCACTGAAAATGTGCACTATTTTTTTTATTGATTTATATTTATTTTACAGTTTGGGGCAAAAAAAAACCTCCCCATGCCAGGAGGGGTAAAGGCAATCGGGTCAGCTGGCATGCACATGAGGTGTCCTTTTTTCTTCAGGGAGTTGGCAACCTTATTTAAGCCCCATTTTGATTTCCAGAGAAATAATTAAGAAAACTGGGAAAGTCGAATCAGTGAAGGGAGATGGAAACTTCCTTGCTGGTAATTTGCAAAAATGAGGAGCAAAAAAAAATCAAAGCATTGGATGTTGAAGAGCTAAAGAAAAGAGAAGTCATAGAGATAAAAGTCATAGGACAGAATAAAACGGTGAAAGGAGTAATAGGAATACCAATTCTAGAGAATTTGGATAAATGAAAGAATAACATTCTTGGAGGATATGTTAACAAGATACAGAGACTTTATAAAAACACACAAGGGGAAAAGGTTGCAAGCACATCACTGTTGACATTTTTCAGAGCCAGTTCGACCAGAAAAAGTCAAAATAGGTTTCATGAGTTTCCCCATTTAGACTGTTTATTCTGCCTCCACTCAGATGGTACAGGTGTCAGCGCTGCATGGCAGCAGGAGAAAGCAAAGATGTTCAAAATGCGGAGAAGAACACAGACTCGAGAAATGCAGGGAAGAAGCTGAAAAAATGGTGCTGCAACTGTGGAGGCAAGCACAAAGCGAACTATTATCCCATTTCCACTACCCTTTTCAAACTGTGCCGAGAGCGGTTCGAGCACGGTAACAGAGATAGCTGTTGAATGTAAATGGCACGTAAACTGAACCAGACCGTGCCAGACACACCCACACTGCTAAACTGCTACTAGTTCAACAGTAGGGCTTGGTGCGGGTCAGTTTTGGCTCAGATCTCAGATAACAAAGAGGGCATGAGCAGACAGCGTCATCTCCGTACAGTCAGCCTCCATAACGATGAAATTTCAGACTTTTGTAAAATTACTTCCAAACGATTTCCAGTGATGGTTCTGCTTATCGATATGGTAGGCCTCAACTCCTGATGTTTCCTGCGTCTAAACCCTGATTAGACTATCATTTGTCATATCCACGTCCCAAAAGACAACTCTGTCAAGTAATTCACCAAAGGCTGCCTTCCTCGTCTGACTCTCCAAAAATTCCTGAATGTTATGGGTGCTGCCATGTTGATTTGCTTGTTTCTAGAATGCAGTAGTACTGTAGATCGTCACTAGGAGGTGAGGAAGCTTGGATAGCGTGATGTGTAAACGCTCTTAAGGAACCTAGATTGGCACGATTAACAGAACCAAGCTCGATCTGAACTCGGCACAGATGGGTTTCAGAGGGGTAGCATAAGTGGGGTTTGTGGAGGATGTGAGGTGAGAAAGAAAGCAGTTGAGATACAACATGTTAAAAACAACAAAAATATAAGCTATACAGAAGCAGTGAAGAGAGTTCGAGGACAAAGGATAGAAGAAGAGCAAAATAAAGCAGAAAGAGAAGATAACTACATTCCAACAGTAGAGAAAATAATTTTATTCATAGCCTATGTCATCAACCGCACAGACCAAGCTAAACATAAGACAGAGAAAATCAGGATCATTGAAAGAGGAGCTGAAAAGTTTTTGGGGCTCAAAGAAGTTAGTTGGGAAAATGTGGTTATGAGGTTGAAGATAGAGGGAAGAACAGGAGCATCTGGAACATAAAAGTTAAGATATTTATAATAATAAATAGTAATTATATTAGATAAAGATATAGTATATTGGGATATTATATTATGGATATAAAGTTGACTAGATCCTTTTTTTTGTCATTTTATTCCACAATCCATACTGGTATGTGACGGTAATGGACTTTCAAATTGTTTGCCTACCATTGTTAAACCTTAGAAAAGAATAAGCTAGATAAAGAAGGAGAACAGCTAGTTCTGTTAGCTTTCCCCTCTTATTATTGTGCTGCAGCACATTATGTTATGAGGACATTATTAACAAATCATATCAAAATAGACTAATAATACACTACCATTAGCCTAGCAAGACAGGTTTTACTGTTGAGTCTTTTTTATGGGTTTGAGTTATAAATCTTAATTGATATATGGAAGAGAGTTGAACACCTTAAGGGAAGCTTTTAAGAACAATTCAGTAGCTTTTCTAACCAAGCTAACACCACTAGCTGCACATCAAATGGTACGTTGACAATTCAGACATCCTCTTCTGCTTCAGTGAGATCATACAGCAGCAGGATTCAGTGTCGGAAATAAAACCAAGACTATCTCTCATAAGCTCAAACTTACCCACTGAAATTATGCATTACTTCACTGCTCTGTGAAGCTACTGTCTGACTGTAACTGCTATTAGCATACAAAATATCCTGATCAAGACATCCCTACCTCAGTATGGGTATGATTTTTTCCTATAATCATTATTATACCGGGCAGACTTCAGGCAATCAGTATCTGGATAAAGCTGCCAGCCCAACAGCAGCATTTCTCTCTCAGGCTCGTACCATCACACATCCAGGGGAGCCCTGAGACCAGAAAAAAAGAAAAACTGGACAGAGCCTGATGGTGATCTGTGTTGATT